CTAAATAAGTTAAAAACCAGCTTTTAAGTCAATTTGACCAGCTTTTAAGTCAAGCCAAACAGACTCTAAATATAGTTTGTTCGATTGGCTAATGTATGATAATTCAATAATACCATTTACCTGGCAAGATTTTCAAGTTCATCTTTCAGTACTTTATCGAATAAGCCCATCAAAAGATCAACTTCCGCCTATAATATAAACAACACAAAACATTACAAAAAAAAAAAAAAATTAATATCATCAAACACAAATCAATAACTGAGCCTATAGATAAAGGGAAGTTATGGAGTTTACTTTAGGACGGAACCAATTTTCAGAGGAAAAAGCAAATAGAGTAAGAGCAGAAATTCCCCAATTGTAGCTGAGCTTAACAAAGTTCCTAAGAACTCGAATACCGGCTGCGTAACCTAACGCAACCGGTAATCCTCTCCTCTTTGCCCACCTTCTATTCCCATCCATTATCACCGCGATATGTTTCGGCATCAGTTCTCTGCTCAATTCTGTAGGCAACGGCACTTCTTCTTCATTGATTGAACTCTCGTCCATGGCGATATAATTGTGGTCAATGTTGCTGGTGGCGTTGTTTTGCGCAGAGGCAAGTGGATGAATTGGCAGTCTTTTCGTTAAATTGGGGAAAATTTGAAGTTTTATTGATTTTGGTTGGGAACAAAATTTAACAGGGAAAGGGAAGACTTGTTGGAGCTGAAATGAAAACGCCATGTTTTTGAAAGCAAAAGGAGCTCTTGCTCACCAATTTATAGAAACTAAACGGTTTTGATACACAAATTATATTATTAATTTGTTTGTTTCCTAATTACCTCATTTTCCCATTGATTTTTAAATTATAGTGTTTATCCTGGCAATCAATTTGTGTGAATATCTAAAATTTATGATAACGAAAGTAACAAGTTTGGTCCATAAATTATATTTTGGTTTATAAATGATTTTGCAACTAGCCTCTTTTTTGGATTTTTACTTTATATTCTGTTTAATTGGTATTATTCATTGTATTTATATTGTATCATTATTATATTTATAATATTTATTTTAATTGCTACTTAATATGTATTATGTTATATTCTTAAATTTTATTGTTATTTAATAATAAAAATATATATTTTTGTTAGAAATATTTTTTCTCCAATTTAAATTTTTTCCTTATTAATTTAGATTTAGCCTCACTTCAATATATGAATGTGAAAGGTCATTGTCTTGGAATGCAATTCCGTTATGGCTAAGGAATTTGCATGATAAAAAACCTCGAATTTCTACGCCACGTACGTGTGGCTACTAACTAAAACAAACCAAAAAATTCAAATTTATACAATTTGAATTCTACAAGCAATTGACGGTGTTCACACATAATCAAAAAATTCAATGAAAAATCTTTTACACGTTTAATTCGAGTTGATTCGATTTTAATTTTTAATCGATAAAAGTTGACTTTTATTTTAAGCAAAAAAAATTAAATTAAATCAAATTAAATATATAAATATCTATTAAAAAATGTAACTGCGTATGTAGGTATAGTTTTATATAATTTTTAATGATCCATATTTATTTTTTACACTGTCGTAGGATTGTTCAAAATCAAATTGAAATAATTAATTTGAGCCCCAAAAAAAGTTATTAGTTTATTGATAATGAATAGGATTGTTCGAAATTGAATCGAATAATTCAAACTAAAAATAGTTCTTGATTTATTGGTATGAGTAATTTGTTCAGCGATTTTGCTAACAGTCTTAATTTTATTATCATCGAATTATCGATTCTTAATAATTCAATGTGTTACTTAATATGCTAATTGATAACCGTATTGTAAATCAGTGAATTATATTTATATCATTTAGTGTGTGTTTGGAGTGACTTATTTTTTTGTAACTTTTGACTTTTAAGTTTTTTTTTAGAAAAATATTAAGTGTCAGAATAACATAAAAACTATTTGAAGGTACTTTTTAAAGCTTAAAAAAAATAACTTATAACTTTTAACTTATAAGTAATTCAAACAAAGTCAATACGAACACCGCCTTAATATATAAAATCGGTGACTTAATGTTTTAGTTTCAAACATTCAGTTCTAACTATCTCCACTCTTGGTTATTCTATATCTAGTTTCTGAGAACGTGCCTTATACGTTCGTCCTTTATTATTATTATTAAACTTTTATATACTAAAAAGTTATACAAAAAAGTTAAGTGATTAAAAAGATGCTTAAATTAACAGTAGTAGTTTTACCATTTATCTTTTATTTGCTAAATAATAATAAATATAATATGAAGAACATTAAATAGATGATATATCTATTTATTTTTTTGTTATCCTTCTCTCATTTTCTTTTCTTCTCATGTTGAACAGTGTAATTTTCTTTTTATGATAATATCAATCTTAGTAATTGGTTCTTAAAAAGCATATTAAAAATTTAATTCTCAAAGTGTTTTTACATAAATAGAGGAGAACGACTCTTCACATTGAACTTTTAATTTTAAAAAATTATGTGTATGAGAAATAATTAACAATCAATAAGTAGGCAGAAGAATATCACATCATAAATAAAATAATATCTCTAAGGCAAAAATAGACATTCTAGTTTGGAAAATAATTACTACCTAACTATTTATAGGTCCAACTCCAATCAATAATCTATAGATGGGAGTTTGACAATTTTCCAGCTATAGTTAAAATTTTACATCAACAATAAATAACTTATTATCACAGTAAATAGACGTTTGATGCATAAAATTTATAAATGCTAAAAGATTTCGTCAATGTGGTACATATGCAAATTTATGATATAAACACTTGGTATATTACGAAACACACTTGAAGCCATTACCATGATTAATTTGTCAATTATTTTTATCATTATATCACATACACTTCTTCTTTTTAACCTTAAAAAGTATTGTACACATGATTTATGAAGAGAAAAGAATAATACTCCTTTTTTCATAACATTTCTCTTTGAATAATTTAATATAAATTGAGCAATATAAACTTTTCAAAATGTCTTAATCTAGATATATGATCAATTTGAGGAATGAATGTTCCAACAAACAAATAATAGACTCATAAGATCAATAAATTATACATATAAACGAAAAATTTAAATAAAAATACAAGCTCAATCAGATATATA